CCATGCAACGGTCGATTTGCGATGCCAATGTCACGCGAGTCACCTCGATAAGGCGGTCGTGCTTGTCGTAGCTGAGCACGTAGCAGTCGCCGCCGCGCTGACTGATGGTGCACTGCGCCTGGAAGTCGGGAGCGTGTTGAAACAACGGATACACCGAGCCGCCCGTGCAAATCTCTACAGCACATCAGATATGACGTGGTGAACAAGTTGGCCAGTTCGACTCCGCACCATTCCTCAGTTTGCCAAGGCGACACAACCACAGGATGATGCGATGCTTGCAGTCGTTGTAGTGAAACTCGCTTTCGATCGTGTGCTTTGGGGGCTACACAAACGGTCCATTGGGACCGATCGCATCGAATGTAAATTGCCGTACCTCAACTGCGATCTCGCTAGCCCCCAGGCGGCGGACAAGGGAACCACTAGAAGACTGCCGCCGCGTCGTCGCAATCAGGATTGTCGTAAAGCTGTGCATCATTCGAGTTGTCCGTGCCGTGTGCGAGTGCACCCACATCCTCCACAAAGACGAACAGCCCGCGACAGCAAACGGTAGGATGCCCATCGTGGACAAGTATACGGCGGGCTCTTGGACTAGCTTGCGCGTCGTCAGCTGTGCAAATCCCTCTGCTGTACCGCTTCGCCTTTGTCCAGTGCCTATGTTGCTGTATCATGCTAACCCAAACAGTTTAAAACCAGAGTTAGTACGAGCTAAGTGACTTTACAATCCAGTCAAACCGCGCTACAGGCCATGCAAATAAGTATTGTTGTCGTTTGTGGTTCGATTCCGAGAATCTCTCTCATTCGTTGGCATAAGAAAAGTTTGGTTTAATTGCGCTCTTTCGACTCTCTACTACGCGACCCATGGCGAATCGGCCAACCCACGGTGGAACATGGCAGTGCTAAACATGTCGTCTCTCTTGGTGACGACCAAGCGACCGACGGCAGCTGCCGTCGTGACTTCGTTGATTTGCAACGGATGGGCGACCATGCAACGGTCGATTTGCGATGCCAATGTCACGCGAGTCACCTCGATAAGGCGGTCGTGCTTGTCGTAGCTGAGCACGTAGCAGTCGCCGCCGCGCTGACTGATGGTGCACTGCGCCTGGAAGTCGGGAGCGTGTTGAAACAACGGATACACCGAGCCACCCGTGCAAATCTCTACAGCACACACATCCAGATATGACGTGGTGAACAAGTTGGCCAGTTCGACTCCGCACCATTCCTCAGTTTGCCAAGGCG